GCATTCGCGATCAGTTCGCCTTTCCGAGCTTCACTTCGACAAGGAGAGAACTCGGAGAAGTTGGGAGGGGAAAGAAAACGACGTCTCGCTTTTCTGCTCGCTAGAGAGTATTTTGATTCTGCCAATGAAGGATCAGAGAAAAAGTGGCAGCGGGCGAGAAGTGGGCGGTGGGATACCTATCAGGCGTCGTTTTCAAATAGTTTCCTCTGCTGTTTCACCAAACAACAATAACAGTGAAAAGGAAAGATTTCAGAGAAGAATCCCATTGTCTTACTGGAACTACAGGATCTGATGGTTTTTGCTTAATAAAAGGTGAAAGGGGTGGGAACCAAGATTATTTATAAAAGGTGAAAGGGGTGGGAACCAAGATTATTTTATTTTTTTATTTTTCCTACAAATTGCCCTCCAGAACAAAGATAAAGAAGGATGATTAAAATAGAACATGGACTTAAGGAGCGGCAGATAAGGTGCTTTACAGCTTCAAATAAACATAGAGATTGGAGCAAAGCTTGTTTTCAAATCCTGCACGTGTCAGAATTAGTAATAAGGGCTAGGCAGGCTGGATTAGACCTACAGAAAATCTGTTGGACAAATTGGTATTCCAGTTTACTGGTTATTGTAGCATAGCCAACTTCTTCCCAAAGGAACAGAAATGCCATAAGATGAGCACCATATAAATTTGATTAAATAAATAAATAGCAAGTAGTCTCACCCAATAATTTCTTCAGCAGTGTCGTTGTTGTTGCTGTTAGTCACAAAGTTGTGTCCAACCCATCGCGACCCCCTGGACAACGTTCCTCCAGGCCTTCCTGTCCTGTACCATCCCCGGAGTCCATTTACGCTCACGCCAACTGCTTCAGTGGCTCTATCCAGCCACCTCATTCTCTGCTGTCTTCTTCTTTTGTCCTCAATCGTTCCCAGGCTCTTCTCCAGTAAATCCTTCCTTCTCATTAGGTGGCCAAAGTGTCATTAGTTATTAATAAATTCATCATTTTGTCAACTCCAAAGCAGTCTTTCTCAGGAGAGTGTTCTCCAAATTGTTGGGCTTCAAAATCCTAAAATTTTCAATCAGTAAAATGGCTGCGAATTCTGACACATGAAGTCCAATAGTGGTACCAGGTTTAAGAAAGCTACTTTGAAGTGAGATTGCAAGTTGTATGGTTGTCTTCCTTGGTGTAAGACCTTAGATTAATTTGATTAATTCTTCATTCTGGAGAATTCTTCTTGAAATTGCCCATCTCTTAACTCGCATGGATCAAGTTCAAGTCTTGGCATTTCTTAAAATCAGGTCTTAATTTTTACAATCTCATAGTTTTCTACACCTCTTTTCGGATTTTTTTTCAACTTCCCTGTCTAGCCTATGGCTCCTTTATTTCCTGGTGGTGTCTCATCCAAGTACTTAACAGGCAAAACTTTTGTTTAAATGTTTGAAGATCAGCCAAGGTCATTTAGATGCTTTCACCTAGCTTGATCTACCCTAAAAGTGTAGGTTTGTTAGCCTAGAATTGTTACTAATTATAAGTAAGTACCACTACTGGATTAGCAATCAAAAATTGCCTGCAGGAACAAGAAGATAATGTAAGAAAGTCTCACTGGAGGGAACCAAGTCTTCCTAATAGCAATTGTATTATTCATATTCTGCTTTATCACAAAAGGACAAAAAAGTCTTCTATTCTTTGTTCTAATCTTTGCTATCTGGAGGTACCTATCCACTAAAAACAGCCAGATATAGTACTCAACCATGAATTCCCCCCCCACACACACTTTTTTTTAAGCATCAACTAAAAATAGGGATAGGGATATATCATGTATCATCACAACACAACAAACATAACATAACGTAACTTATAATTAATATACCATTGTTAACTAACTGCTTTTGCCTCAACACTTAATAGTGTGCAGGTTTTTATGAGTTCATTGAACTAAAGTAATATGGTTTGATGTCACATGCTTCAATGGGGACTTCAGAACGAAAATGTGAAGAGGAACATGTGAAAGTCGTATTATTTCCTGGCTGGCTTTTCCTGCTTGGCTGGCTTTTCTTATGTCCCCACCCTTGCTAATCACACTTAAATACAATGCATTTTTTTAAAAAAGAAAAGGTGGTATGATTGAATAAGTTGTAGAAATGAGAGTAAAGGAAAATTCTGTATGATAATAATAATTAACAAATATGCACCGTTAATACGATAATGGATGTGTGACCAAAGATACTTTTTCTTTTTATGTATTGTCGACTGTATTAATATATATGTACCTTGTATATACATGGTATAATATTTTACTTTTTATATGTTTAATAAAGTTTTATTTTTAAAATTAAAAAAAAAGAAAAAGAAAAAAAAAGAAAAGAAAAGTACCTAACGTTAAGACATTCAGGAACAGAATCAGAAACTATGGGTATGGTTGAGTTCAGCCAGCCCTGAAATAGTGGGTCAATGATGTTACAGAAATAGAAGATGAAACTTATTACAAAACTCTTTGTCTCTAGCAGTAGGAAACAAGGGCAGATGTTCAGAAGAGTGGAAGAATCCATTTTCTTCTCTCTCTAATTTGCATGATACTGAAAGCTACAGTGTTCTAAAAACAAAAGGCAATATAATTTAACATTTGCTCTTTAGCTCAACTTGTTTTTGAGTTTACTTAAGTATTAGAAAGATTGCATTTAAGAAGCTTCTGTAAAAGACTGAAATAAAAATATATAATATTTGGAGAACTTCCTTACAAAAAGACTTTGTGCTATAAAGACTTTGCATTTCTCACCTCAAATCCAACCATCAAGAACAGGCATTTCTTTCTTTGTTATGAAGTAGATAAAATGGCAGGGATGAACAATGGCAACTCACTCTAAGCTAATGGTTAAAACCATATAAACTGAGATAAGCTTCCTGCAGAAATAATATTCATAATACTAAATCTCTCTTGCAAGTTTACTGTGCAAGTTTACTGTGACCACATTAATAAATTCCATCAGCCTTTCTTATCTTGATATCACCTAGGTATTTTGTACTATAACTTCTGTTATCTACAGCTCATTTTTGTTTTAATGAACCTGTAATCCCTTGCATCGGGGTGAAGTTGGATGACTGAACAGAGCTTGAGTATTTACTGGCCAGTTGCCCTTCCTGATGCCTGTGCGAAGTTCACAGCAGACAGCTACTCATTGCGGCTAGATAGAGAAACATCTGCCACTACCTAGGTTCAAACTCACAGCCTCCTGATTGGGAGGAGAGAGCTTCACTTCTAGGCCACCATGCTGCTCCATCTATAGCCCATTTAACCCATTACAATACTCTAAACTTAAAATTAAGTCACTCTCTCTCATTCCAATCTACCTCGCAGAGTTATTGTGGGGAAAATAGAAGGAGGAAGATGTGTTGGATATGTTTGCTGCCTTCATATATACAATAAAGGTGAAATACAAATAAATAAATAAAATAAACACAATAAGATTTCTTCTAATTAAACAGGTTGACTAAAATTAAAAGAAGTGTTTTTTTGGTTGCACACAGCCATGTAACTAACCCTAACCTTCTTTGCCTGATTTTGACAATTTAAGCAGAATTTGTACTCAGTTTGTACTCAGATAGGAGACCACAAGGAAACCCCAAGTCTAAATGTTAGACTGGAAAATTGAACAACTACAGCAACAAATTACTAAAGGCAATCGTAAATTGTTATTGTATTATTTCCTTTTCATAGATGTAACATAGATGTGCCATAACATCACCAGAAATCAAGTTTTCATCTTTATCAGTGAACAAATATGCACAACAACTTTAATGAGACTTTAATGAGAATATCCTGTTTCTTTCCTTCTATTAATCGAGTTTCTAGAACAAATCTTTACACATGATCAGAACTGTAAATTCTTTTCAGTGAGCTTATGTTCCAAATCTTTCCTGGATGGTGGGGAGTGGACAGAGGATACTTTCAAATATTAAAAAAAAATCCTTAAGAGGAAAATTCCAAGGTCCTGTATGCTGCCTTTACTCCTACTGTACTCCATAATAAAACCTTCTAGGATCCTTTATATATTTATGCCATCTCACTGTTACAAAGCTTAAAGATTTCATTCCCAATTTAACTAAGATGACCAGACGTCCCGCTTTTGGCGGGACAGTCCCGATTTTTAGCAATTTGTCCCGCGTCCCGCGGCGTTTTAAAAAAGTCCCGATTTTTCATTCTGCCTCCTGAGTCCCAGCTGATGGCTAGAGGGAAAAAAACTGTTTAAACTCTTGCCGCGGGGCTTCAAAGGGCCGTCGTACAGCTGTTCTGTGTTAAAAGAAAACAAATGAGTAGACCTATGCCTGCAAAAATAGAAAAAACAGCCCCTTACAGCTTCCGTGTAGGTTAATTAGCACGTTGATTAGCTCGACTTCCCCACTCTCAGCTGATTTGCTCTCAGCTGTTTTGCGCAGGGCTCTTGCTGCTTGCTAAATTGCTCGAGCAGATTTTTTTTTCTCCTTGTGCAAACCAAGCTCAAAATGAAACTGAAAGTAAAACAGGCTGTTGGCTTGCAACGTTGGAAAATTAGGCAGCAGATTTCTTTTCTTTTTCCTCACCAAAAAAGGTAGGTGCAAACCAAAAGAGGAGTTCAAGATTTTAAAACACAAAAGAAAAAAAGTTCTATTTAACTAGGGAATTGTAATAATTGAGATACTATTAATTGTATATTGTGTTGAAAGCAGAAATGGTTAAGTTGTGGTTTGGAGGAATATATGGGGGAAATTATTTGGTTTATTATTATTGGTAAATATAATTAATTGATTTGTAAGAAATTGGACTGCATGGAAATAATTGGAATATTCATGTTCATATTGATTAATATACAAAAAAGATAGCTATATAACTAATAGATTATTTTTGGTTTTAATACTAGAATTATTGGGATAAGTATTATAGTAGTATAGATAATTTTTAGCATTATAAAAGATTTAAGTTTTTTAAGAAGTCATTTCCGTGAGTTCGTAATTGCAACTACTAGGCTTAGTCCAATGGCTGCCCCGCAGACTGAAATTGTCAGTAAGATAATTGGTATTGGGATTTGTGACATGGTTAATGAGGTAGAGGTAAACATAACTAGTATTGTAAATACAATAAGTATTATTGTCTCTACGATTAGGGCTAGTATTAGATGTTTGTGTTGTAGTGATAGATAGTAACCATAAATGTTAGGTATATAGTGGTTTTTATTAGTTCCAACTATGATGATAAAGTTCTTTTGAGTCGAAATCAAATATCTATTAGACTACCGTAGTATTCTGTTCATTCCAGCCCACCCTGTAATCACTCATACAACAGCCCTAGTGTAAGGATTGTTAGTAGTACTATGGTTAGTGTAATAGTTGTTGTAGGCGGGTTAGTGTTTATGCTTCAAGGGATAGGAAGTAGAAGTATTTGTATTAAAATGTTGAATTTGTATTAAACAACTGTATTACATAATTACATAATTAAATGTGATTTATAATATATATAGAATAGAAGGGAAAAATTGAATTTGATTAAGATTAGAGATGAGGATGAAGGCTAATATTGTTTTTTTAAAAAAACATGAATAAATATGGCAAAAAGGAAATACATCTTTTTCATCTTTTTTATTGTACAGCAATCTTTCTCCTCAAACCTACCACCTCTCTCTTTTTTTTCCTTCTTACTTTCTCTTCCCCCTACCCTCTTCTTCTCCTCCCTACTTCCTCTTCCTTTCTCCTTCTCCTCTCTTCCTCCCTCTCTTACCCTCACTGCTACTCTAATTTCCCTTCCCTTCCTTCATCCCTCTCTATTGCTGTATCCTTTTATGCATATGGATTACTCAGAGGGCTGAAAGTTATTTTTGACTGGTCCTAGCACTTTTGACCAGTCCTCGAACTTACGACTGTCCTCACATTTTACGTTTTTTGCCTTATCTTATCACCAGGGTGAAGAGAAGCAGTTGTGAAATGAGTGACATGGTTGTTAAGAATACTGCACGGGCATAAATGTGAGGATGGTCATAAATGTGAGGACCAGTCAAAAGTGTGAGGACCTGTCAGAAATGACTTTTTTCAGCCCTCTGAATAGTCCCTGTACACATAGCCATGGCCACGCGGTCACATCACCAGCTAGCCACGCCCACCCAGTCACATGACCTCCAAGCCACGCCCACAAAATAAGCCACGCCCACAATGGTGTCCCTCTTTACCAATGTTAAAATCTGGTCACCTTAAATTTAACTGATTCCTAATATCTTGGATTACAGTCCCCAACATACCCAGTTTTGTTTCTTTTTGTGTTTTTTTTTTCCTTTTTGTTCCCATTGCTTAATATTTTGCTTATCATACAGTTGATTTAAAATCATTATTAAGAATACAAAAAAAGAAAAACAGAAACCTTTGTTTTGAACTGTTTTGAATAGGCTTGTGCTGTGTATAATGATCGGACTAGCGCCATTAATTTTTGCATTCTTTTTCACAAATGGTTCTTTTTATTTCTTCCATCCAAAATAAAGTCAAAGGACTGGTCTTTCGTGACCCATTTTCTATTTTCTTCTTTCTGTACCCCATCTTTATTTCTCAAATTCTGGATAACATAGGATTAGGAAAAGTTGTTAAGGCACCAAGCCAGAATGCAGGAGTCTGTGAATTCAATTCCAGCAGGATTGTTGTTGTGAGGAAAATAGGAGACAGAAATTATGTTGGATATGTTTATTGCCTTGATTTATTTATAAAATAATAAAAGGAGATAAATAGACAAATAAATAAACAAATAAATGATAAGGAAAAAGAGAAATGACCTTAGCAATGTGATCTTCTCTATTCTAGAAAGGAGGAGTTTGGAATCCCATAGCATCCTGGTCACTACAGAAGGGAAATAAAAATAGTGCTAAACCGTGAGTTGGTTCTTTATTTTCCAAAGAAAAATATTTGGGGAAATAATGCTGAAAGAATTAATGTAATAACTTGATCTAACTTCTGTGTTCTCATCATCTTCACCATGACCACCTCCACTTCAATTTATTGGAATATCGGTAAAAATTGTAACTTCCTAGCAACAAAGAATCATACATGTTTAAAAAATGATTGAGTAACAAGAAATTAAGATTCTGTGAGAGGTTGCTATTTATTTATTTATTTATTTATTTATTTATTTATTGACAGCAATTATGCTATTTCTGTGAATTTTTTATTTTATTTATTTATTTTTATTAAAACAATTTCAGTCATTTCAGAATCCATTGCAACTTTTGTATTTTTCTGCAGATTATTTATTATTATTGCATTTTTAATTATTCTTGTGATCAATTTGGAATTCTGTGGAAAATTGATGTAGTCTAAACACTTTAAAGCCCTTTCTAGACTGAAGAAATGACAGCTTTAAGAATTCAAATCAGCTAAAAGAAAAACCAGAAACAGAAATCAGTGGTATCTAAGTCCACCTATGATTTATTTATCAGTTAATCCTGATTATCAGTTCGCTTTTCAAACACTAAGCATTTTATTTGTTTACTTTTGATGAGTCACTTTCTCAAGAAGAAATAAAGGAAAGGCAATCATATCATCTAGATTTCATTTTCCCACATAAATCATAAAACATAATGTTGCAAAGTTGACTTTCCCACCATAAAAAAAAGGTTGCCACAAAGGAATATGACAAATACAAAAATAGCCAAAATACTATGTATTATTGGTTTAATTGTTTTGGACTGAGGAATGCAGTCTTTTCACTTTCACTTTTCACTTTGTCTCTGGAGACAAACAGAGATCACAGGCCAGGATAAAGGAAGCCCATTTTTTGTTCTATGAGTATAACGCTCATTGGAAATGGATTTTAGGAGGAAATGAAGTCGTTGATTTTCTTTATTTAATATCTCCTTTTTCTCTTCACTTAACATTCCCTTTTCTCTGGTTTTTAATCTTTCCTCCTCCACTTCCTCCTCCTCCTCCTCCTCCTCCTTGCATATTGCGAGCTTCTGACCTGGGTAAATAACAATTAAATCTGATTAAGATTTAATTCCTATGACCAGAACTATTGCCAAAACTGAATACTTTAACAACAGAATAATCAGAGACGCCATTGAGATAGATAAAGACCCACACAGCATGAATAAACGAGATGACACCTCCCACCTACCAGCCATTTCGAAACCCACCCTCATTGACAAACGAGTCCCTAACACAAAGAATGATACCAAACCCACACTCACGAAAACCACACAGGATGTCACCACCACATATCCACGCAAAAAGCAAACCCACATCGATGAGGCACAACCACAAACCAGAAGCCAGACCGCATCATTAGCCACTTTAAACCCCTCCAATCCATACATGAAGCAAACTGACACCCACCATGAAGATGTGGCATGACCACGAACGTGAACCAAACAACAGCAACGCAGCTCACCAGCTCAAATCCCCCTGCAACTCAGACTAACCCGAGCACAACCAAGCCCCCACTTAAACAGAACACACCCCCATCCAATCAGAGCACAGCCAAACCCCCATCCAATCAGAACACACCTCCACCCAATCAGAACACAGCCAAGCTCCCACCCAATCAGTTCACACCCCCACTGGCAGTTAAAAGGAAGAAACAGCTGCGATCACACATTGCTCCTAGAAGCACAAAGCCGAAAACACCAGCCTGAAGATGATGAATGAGACTTCGTCGAAATGTCGCCAAGACACTTCCAATTTTACATGGGAGAAAACCCAAATAACCAAAGACCTAGATAGATAGATAGATAGATAGATAGATAGATAGATAGATAGATAGATAGATAGATAGATGACAGATAGAAGATGATTGATAGATGATGCATGGATGGATGCATGGATGGGTAGATAGATAGATAGATAGATAGATAGATAGATAGATAGATAGATAGATAGATAGATAGATGTTTAATTCAAAGATAGATTGATCTTATTCAATAAGCAGGTGAATACAGGAAAAAGCAGCCTTGCAGATGACCAGATTCAGAGCCACACAGGACCATAAAAATGTCAAACAACCTTCAATTGCAAATGTAAGACAAGGTGCAGCCAGCTCAAATCCCAAAACTGGGTGGACTCTCAAGTAGAACAGGAAACATACCTGCTTCTTGTTACACTTGGAAACATTCGTCATAGTCCAGGGCTGCCACATTTTGTATTAGCTTTAGCTTCCAAGTGCTTTACAGGTGCAGCCAAATGTAGATCATTTATAGTTATCAAGATGAGATGACTAGGGCCTGGATGAATGGGAGCAAGGTTTCTCAATCCAAAAATGATTGCATTAGTGCACAAGATCTAACTTCAAAAGTCCATTTGGCCGCAGCTGTCACTTATCTGAAGAAGAGCTATAAGTCAAGAAGGATCCCAAGTTGTGGACCGCTTTGAACTAATGAGTATAATTTTCCATAGAGTTATGGAACAGCACTTCAATTGTTTGGTGTAGGGTTGAAATATTATTACTGTTGATACATGACTGTGCTGGTGGATTACACTTCCAGTGGTTTCACATAGATGTGAAGATAACCTGGGCTACTCCACGAAATAGAGGTCTCTGAGCAGAGCTGTCATCTCCTCCTCTGCTGAGAACCACCCTTTAGGAAGAGAAAGAATTATTGAAAGACAATATGTCAGTGAGAACTGACTTCTTCATTTCCCACTCAAAGTTATAGAGTCCCTTTTCAAAAATAGCAAGTTCCTTACCACTCCTGTCAATCTGGCATGGCCATCACAATTGAGTTGAGTTTCTTCTATCTTGGCTCTCTTCAGACCTGAAACTTGTCTCCAACTGAGTAACCATAAAAGATGTACCCAATTTATTTTTACCTGGTTGTTTCCCTTTTCAGAAGATGCCAACACCTTCATTGGAATTGGGGCAGCCAGTACAGCTAGTAGGTTTGGATGAAAATGGGAGTCTCTACTTGGATACAGAGGCCCTGAATAGTTGCTTAGAGCAGGAAGAGGTGAAAGATACTCCCATCTGCTTGATTTCCATAGTTGGGGAACAGCGACAGGGTAAATCTTTCTTGTTAAATTTCCTCCTACGGAGACTTAAAAACTTGGTAAGTCTGAGAATAAGTGTTTATTTTCTTAGTGTTTTAAAATGATTTTGATTGGTGGTAATCTTCCTATGAACTTATAGTGTTATGTAGATTTTATTCAAGAAATCAAGCATGCAGAATGAGTTATATGGGTTGCATTTTGCACACGTTCAACTTTCTAAAGAATATGAGGAGAAATGGATAAGGCATATGAGGAAATGTATAAGGCATACATTCCTTGTCTGAAAAAACAAATGTAACAACTTAATAATCAACCAATTATTATATTGATTATTATATTATATTATTACTGAAGGTAGAGCAGTATCTCATATCTCATCAGTATCTCACTGGCAGAGTACAAATGACTCTCAAGGGGTTTCTAATTTCCCAAGAGATTTATGCCATAAATAAATCATAAAAGATAATTAAAAAATAAATAATAAAATGAAGAATAAAAGAAAAACATCCATTTTACCAAAAGGCAAATTGATGAACTTTGCAGAAATAAGGAGCAAAATAGAGAACATTGCTTGGCCAAGTAATTTTTGACATATTGTGAAATATGTGTCATTTGACTAACCATGCTATTGCAGCAATTGCATATTTCTTATCTAAATTATTTTTTTCCTAGGCTGTTACAGATAACTCTTGGCTGGGCCAAGAAGATGAGCCATTGACAGGTTTCGAATGGCATCCAGGAAATAAGAGCATCACCAAAGGGATATGGATATGGAATCAGCCATTTTTGGTCCTTGATGAAAATGAAAAGGTAAACATTTGAGTTCAATCCACGAAGTAATTTCCCTCTTTTTTCTGCCTTTTGTCTTCTTCTTTGTATCCTCTATGCCAGGTTTTTCAACAATTTTCTGAATTTAATGCATTTCCCTCCTCCTACACATCACAACAGTCTCCCAACTAAATAAAATTTCATTAATGCTATGCAAAAGGTTGATAGTATGATAGAAAACATAGATCTTGCCATGAACAATGTTGCTTGCCCGAGCTGGAGGTTGATCTAATTGATATGTCTGCATGATTGATTTGTTGATTGATTGATTTGTTGATGATATGCCATCAAGTCAATGTTGACTTCTAGCAACCAAATGGACTGTTTTCTTCACAATGATCTCTCCCTAATCTGGTCCTTCAGATCTTCCAATGTGCACCTATCATTGTTGTAATTGTATCTATTCACCTTGTTGAGTGTCCTCTTCTCTTTCCTTCCACTTTTCCTATCTACAGTCTTCTGTAGAGACTAAGTGTTTCATATAATATATATGAGGTGGTATGTGATAATTTGTGCTTCAAATGAGAAGCCTGGGTTAATTTGTTTTATGTTCCATTTGTTTTCCTTGTTGTCCATGGTACTTTCAGGAATTTCTTCCTGCACCAAATTTCAAAAACACAATGGAAAACTAGGTCACTGTACAGCATTCTGAAGCTTGTGTTTTTGCAAAAAAAAAAAAAAAAAAATCTGTTCAACACAGAAAACAGATTCTAAAAGGTAACAGATTTACCAGTAATACAGAATGTGTCTTTACCACAATGTGAAGAGAGGGAAGAGAATTTTGAAAATAGAAACTTGCTTTTGATGTCACACCTAACATCTGCTCTATTCAGCTGTGCTTTGTGTGATCTTTGCCACTTCCTAACTATTTTACTTTTTGTCTTGTTTTGGTTGCATCTCTTATGAAACTTAGATGACTCAATGGGCAAACTGGACCCTAGCCTATCTTTTCCATTATAAAATGATTAATTTCCTGTACTTCTGTTATGATGGTTGGACCGTTTTCAGTAGTTTTCTCTCTCTATTTTTTATTCCGTTTATCGTCATTTTGATTTTTTAAAAAATGTCAAAAATGCTGGGAGTTGTAGTTTAACCAGGACAGAATTTATTTATTTATCTATCTATCTATCTATCTATCTATCTATCTATCTATCTATCTATTTATTTATTTATTTATTTATTTATTTATTGGTTCGATTTATATGCCGCTCTTCTCCGGAGACTCAGGGGGCTTACAATGCGTTAAGCAATAGCCTTCATACTTTTGTATATACCTGCTTAGTAGGGCTTTTGCCCCCCCCCCAAGCGGTGTTCTTTTTTATACAAAGTCAGCTTATTGCCCCCACAATCCGGGTCCTCATTTTACCTACCTTGAAAGGATGAAAGGCTGAGTCAACCTTGAGCCTGGTGAGATTTGAACTTGCAATAATTGTAGGCAGCTGGTGCTACTTAATAATTAAGCTGGCCTGGCCTAACTCTCCTCTTTTAAATTTTTAATCTGTGATTTTATAAATTGGGTGTTTTAATCCGTGTTTCGGCCAAAATATTTAATAATTTTAAGGGATTTTTTAATATTTGTATTATTTGTATTTTATCTTGGATGTTCACCGCCCTGAGTCCTTCGGGAGTAGGGCGGTATAGAAATTTGATTAATAAATAAATAAATAGTACTTTAGTCTGCTGCGCCACCAAGACTCTAAAAGATTTACCATCTCTGCTAAAAGCATATAATATACTTTAGAAATGAATTTTGTGGTTATGTACACACAACATTCCTAAAATGGTTATTAAATAATCCACATTGCACAACTTATTGAATAAGAATCTAAACAAAAAGGATAGAATCATAATGTGTGTGTGTGTGTGTGTGTGTGTGTGTGTGTGTGTGTGTGTGTGTGTCCACTTATTTCTCTTCTCTGTTTCATCTCCAGGTAGCCTTGTTTTTGATTGACACGGAGGGCTCAATGGCTATAGAGAGAAGCAAGGACAATGGTGTCAAGCTTTCAGCTTTCTCCATGCTGTTAAGTTCCTATCAGGTAGAGTTCTAGAAACCAAATCATCCTTTTTTCCCTCTAGGCTGTAAAAATACCACATACTTACCATACCTTTGTTATGTTTCTTAATTATCTTTTAGATTCTTAATTTATCCCATAACTTGAAGGATCCAGACCTGGAATACATGGAAGTGAGTTGGGTTTTAAATATTAAAAGTGAGGTCCTTGTCCAAGGGAGAGGTGGGAGACAGTGCAACATTATCAGGTAGAGGCGATATAAAAAATATTGCTAAAAGAAGGTGGCCTAACCCAAAGCCCAGACTTGGTATCCTTTGATTCAGGTAACCAAATTGGAAAGATCCTAGATTATTTTACTTGGTTCTCTTGACTGAATTGCAGGAATCTGTCAGCTGTGATACCCAAAGTGTTCCCAAAGTATTGCCAAGTCTCATTGTGGAGTAAATGTTAACAGGAATGTCAAACAACCAAGTCAGATTGCAAAAAAAAAGCCATTTAATTTAATTTATTAGGCACTATTAGGCACATTGACCTGCCAGAACAAACTGATTTCAAGACAGCTTCATTAATCTTTGTCCCAATGGAAAACATGGGCACCTAGTAGTTATTATCAGATCCCTGTTGCTCCTGTGTGTGCATTTGTGACCTACTCGCTCTTCCGTTTCCACAATGAAGACATCAAAATAGATCAGGGAAACCAGTCAGGAAATTTTCAAATTTACATGGTTGACTCAGCCATGAATACAATCACTGAACAAAGCTTGGATCCCCACAGCATGTTGATCTTAGATACCAAATTAACCCATTGTCTGAATCTGCACATCCATTGAATCATTAACTTATCTCTGGTGCTTGGTTCATGCAATTCACTGTGTCACAAAAACACTGTGTTACAATTTGGCATGTTGTACAAATGCAACTGATAATTCTTTAACTGATCTGAATAATTTGGTTGTCTCAATAACATTAAAAGTATTAGCTGGAAAACTAATATTGCTTTGTCTTTGTTTAAAAGCAATAGGTTAAGTAGTTTAAGGTGATTACTGTATTACATTTTAAAGGGTGAATAAATATACCCCCATCAGCTTAAACACAGTACTGTATTTAAGTATACCGTCCTGAATTCTCTGGAATAGGTCAGAATACAGATGTGACGTAAGACAAATTTGTAAATTTAAATAGGTATTATTGTTGTCTTAAAATAACAACAACAACAACAACAACAACAAATGACAACATCTTCCTATCCTGTGTTTTGGGGAAGGATTCAATAGGTGGATAAAAATGCCAAATCCAATTTAAACATCTGGATGGCTGTGCAATGAACCATTATCATATCATTTCTAGAAATATAATTTTTATGTGTCTCTTTATCTTTCCTGTTATCAAAAACTCAAGGTAGCCAACAGTAAAAACAATAACTCACAAAATCATTTATTTCCTAAATCACGTTTTAGTTCTTTATCTCTGCTACTGAGTGAATAGACAATTAATTTCAGTGAAATTCAATCACCTAATTTAGTAGTCATCTACTTCTTTTATCTCACAGATGTTTTTGTACATAGCGAAGTCTGTGGGCCATCAGTTCAAGCTAAAGCCTGTTCAGGTACGGAGTCCCATCTTTTTCCTCCTTTCTTTTTACATGTAATGTATATTTTCTCTCCCTCTTCCACTGACACCATTCCCTCAGGACTGTTGCTCTTATACATGGTCAAAGAGGCCCTTTGTTCCTGAATTCCTGTTCACAGCTAACGCCTCTTCATCTCTGTTTTCTTCTGCCTGGTACACCCATCTCTCCTTTTCTTTCATTGTGAATACCAATGAATTTTTTTTATGCACTGCTATTGAAAATGCATTATTTATCTCTATAATGTATTCATTTTTCATCTCGAGAAAGGACAATAATCTCTGAATAACGCTTTTTTTTTAAAGAAAAAGTCAAAAATTGGATAGACCAGGAATATTTCCACCATATTCATAAAATAAGGGCTGGTTGAGTAGGATAACTTATTTTTCCAAAGCACACACCTGTTCCTTCCCTCACTGTGCTGTTGCTTTAAGAAAGTTTTCTCTGCTTGATTTGAATGTCAGAACCTAATCAGGCACTGATAAAGTTAGTACAGAAAATGAGATTTTCATCAAAAGCATGGATAACAACCTCAGGTCCTGAGGCTTCGAGTTCCATTTTTCAGCAATAAGAAATCCTGTTCAGAATTATAATTTTTCCAAATAGATGTTGTAAGCCATTGAAAGTCCAAAAGTTATATCTATCCAAAATGAGAAAAAAGCAACCCAAATGTTGCTATGATTCCCTTGGTGACAATAGCAATAGCACTTAGATTTAGATACTGCTTCACAGTGCTTTTACAGCCCTCTCTAAGCAGTTTACAGAGTCACCATATTGCCCCCTACAACCTGGGACCTCATTTTACCCACCTTGGAAGGAAGGAAGGAAAGCTGAGTAAACCTTGAGCCACTGGGACTTGAACTGACAAACTGCTGGCAATCAGCAGACAGCAGAAGTAGCCTGCAGTATTGCACTCTAACCACTGTGCCACCACATAGTATCATCAGCCCTACCTGTTGTGATCTTTGGAAACTGAAAAAGGGGAGGTTGTTAAAAAGAAACAGGAGTAGCCTAATTGCAATGTGAATGTCACTTACTTAACAAATGTTTCACTTAGCAATATAAATAAGGGAAAGTGTTGTCTTACTTTCACTGTAATTATGATATGCTTGGTAAATGATATAAATAAAATGAAAACCAATCTTTAAAAGTAGGACTGGCCTCAGAGAGAGGTCAGAACTAAAGCTCTAGGAGAACAGATTGTTTTCATTATTATTCTCCTGCCCTCTATAAGTGAAGAGATGAAGCAGCTTTGCTCCCCATTGGCTGCATAGCCTGGGACCAGAAGGATGGATGAGTGAATAAGATGAGGGGATTTGCAGAGTAAGAAAGAATCTGATAAAGTAGGAAAGCCCTTAGAAGTTACAGGTAGTCCTCGAGGTATGACCACAATTGAGCCCAAAATTTATGTTGCTAAGTGAAACATTTATTAAATGAGTTTGCCCCATTTCACAACATTTCTTGCCATAGTTGTTAAGTGAATCATTGCATTTGTTAAGTTAGTAACCCAGTTATTAATTGAACCTGGCTTCCTCATTAACTTTGCTTATCAAAAGGTCCCAAGAAATGATCACATAACCCCGGGACACTGAAATATCATAAATATGTATCAGTTGCCAATCATCTGAATTTTGATCGTGTGACTATGGGAATGCTGCAGTGATTGTAGGTGTGAAAAACGGTCATAAGTCACTTTTTTCAGTGCCATTGTAACTTTGAATGGTCACTAAATGAACTGTTGTAAATTGAAGACTAGATATATTTCATCCAGGGCCTAAAAGTCAGCTTTGTTTAGTAGGGAAGGATCCTAGTTTTTCAGCAGTATGCATTATTCATCTGTCTCCCTGTTTTGGCAGCATTGATGGATATGCCAAATGCATCCTTTGGCAAGAGAAGGTGATAAGATTGAAAATACTTCCTGTGGTTCTTTGTAATGGTAGAATCATCCCCATAACTTTGCAGCCCTATGTACAATCTGCTTTCTAACTCACCTTTGCTACCGTGTAGAGTAGGTTTCTTGCTTCCATGCATCCAGTGGACGTGTAGTGGGACCAGAATCGGAAGAAAGGAAGTCAAATTCTCTTGCTTTTTTGTTGCAGCATCTTGATCTCTTGGTTCGTGACTGGTTCTGTCCTCCCACCTATGGATTCCAGGGTGGACAAGTTTATCTCCATGATATCATCCAGGTAAACCTATTATAGAAATTATAGAAGATATCCTGTGTTGAGAATGAAGAGATTATCAGGAGTCCATCTAAAGAAAAGAAACAGAGTGATTGTGAGGTGGTGTTACAATGGTTGCATCTTGTCCCTTCTATTTGTCCATTTAACTTCAGACGCTGGAGGGTCAACCCAACCGGTATTCACGATCCCTGGAAATATTCAAAAGCACCAACACTTCTTGTTACCTGATGCCCTTCCCTGGCAAGGCGTTGGTGATGGGAACTGAAGGCACCATAGCAGGCAAGAATCTTTCTTTCCATTATACTTTCTTCATGTTCCTCCCACAAGTCTATTCATTTGGCATTTTAGGAAGGAATAAGCACAATTACTTCATTCCATCAGAAGGAGGAACATTAATATCATAAATCCTTTCTGATTAGCGGTGGAGTTTAAAAGCAGTTAAATCAATTCATTCTTTGGCTTGAAATGGAACTGGGGAACTGGGGAAAACAAACTATGGAACTATGGTTTTTTTTCTAGTATCATCATTTAAAAATTGCTCTGAATCCAAAAGGCAATGTAAAATGACTCTGGTGAAGCCAACAAGATTTTCCACTTTCCCAGACTATTTTTTATGAAATAAATTCTTATTCTACAAATAATTGGTATGACCAAAATTCACCGAAACTTTGTTAAGTTTCTTTCTTTAAATTTCAACTTTCTATTATATTTCAACTTTCTATTATATTTCAACTTTCTATTATATTTACCTCAAGTTTCTATACAAACTCAAAGTAAACCGTTCCAAACTCGATTGCAGAAAATATGACTTCAGTAACAGAGTGGTCAATGCCTGGAATGCACTACCTGACTCTGTAGTTTCTTCCCCAAACCCCCAAAACTTTAATCTTAAACTGTCTACTGTTGACCTCACCCTATTCCTAAGAGGTCTGTAAAGGGCGTGCATAAGTGCACCAGAGTGCCTACCATCCCTGTCCTAATATTCCTTTTTACTTACTCTTTTCATGTATTCAAATTATGTTTATACTTTTTATTTGTAATCTTATATCTTTAATTCTTTTATTATCTTTTGCATTTATGTTTTTATCTTATATTAAAATAAATGAATAAATAAATATATGCTTGACAAATAAATAAACTTAAACTATTTGATATTTGTGGCTAATAGCAAAATATGCCTTTTTCTGAAAGGGCTCCTCATCCCTCCCTTAGTACTACTCACGGTTGATAGATCAATTTTGTAAGCCCTCTGCTGCACTCATTTTCCCCAAAGCTTATAAGATTACTAAAAGTGCACAAAGCCTGAGTCTTGGAGATATTAAAAATATTCTAAAATAACAATTTCATTTCTCCAACCACCAGCACCCAAACACACTGCATATACAGGCATACATACTGAAGCAAAGATTTATCAGATAGGATAGCTCCCTTTTAAGGCCAAGTCAACACTCTGTTGCATTTTGGAGTCTTGGGCTTAATCTGGTTGCATTCAAATATTTTCAACCATTAACTCCAGAAAAAGTAAAAAAATAAAAAAAAAAATTGTGCTGGCCAGAACAGTCTGAATTGTTTTTTGCAGATATGGATGACGATTTTAGGGGATTCCTGAAGGATTATGGGAATCATATTGCCAGATCAGCTGGAATGCATGTACAGAGAAATCAGAACAACGAGCCTCTCACCGGGATAGAACTTGCTGATAAGATAAAGGTGAGAGTTATGGGAATCAAATGATGTAAGCAACCTATGCCTTTGTATAAGTGTTTGGCATATAGAGATTTCTATTATTGCCTCCAAAATATATCAGTTTCTTGAGGTGTTTCTCAACTTCAGGAATTTTAAGATGCATGGACTTCAATTCCCAGAAGTCCCAGAAGCAGGGGTGAAATGCTCCCAGTTCGAACCGGATCTCCTGATCCGGTAGCGATGGAGGCGGGTGGTTCAGAGAACCGGTAGCAAAAGTCCCTGCCCCCCCCAATTGCCCAACTGAGCCGCGCAATCATCGAAGGCTTTTTTTTTTATTTTTAAAAGCATATTTTCTACAACCTCTTTGTAGAAGCATTTAAAAATGCTTTTAAAAGTAAAAAAAAAAAGGCTCTGATGATCACGCGGCTCAGCTGGCATCACCAGAGGCTTTTAAAAGCATTTTTTCTACAACCTCTTCGGCCAAAGAGGTTATAGAAAAAATGTTTTTAAAAGGAAAAAAAGCCTCTGCCAATCAGGCAAGTCAGCTGGGATCGTCAGAGGCTTTAAAAGCATTTTTTTACAACATCTTCAGCCGAAGAGGTTGTAGAAAAATGGTTTTAAAAGTAAAAAGAACAAACAAAGTTGGCCATGCCTACTCAGTCATATTACCCTCCCACACACACACCATGCCACGCCCACAGAACCGGTAGTAACAAATTTTACATTTCACCACTGCCCAGAAGTATTGGCTAGGGCAGGGGTCTCCAACCTTGGCAACTTTACGACTTGTGGACTTCAACTCTCAGAATTCTAGGAGTTGAAGTCCACAAGTCGTAAAGTTGCCAAGGTTGGAGATCCTGGACTAGGAATTCTGAGAGTTGAAGTCTACACATCTTAAAGTTGTCAAGTTTGAAAAACACTAATGCAATTATTCCTTCTCTAATAAAATTACTTATATAATATTATTTATTACAATTACATCTATGCTGTAATCTGTACTGTATAACACTATAACTCAACCTCAGCAAGGATTTCAACTCGCAGAATTCCCTAATTGGTGTGCTCTAAAACATACAGTACTTCTCCATTACTATCTACCAAACATTGATGTCTTCTTATATACAGGTAATCCATAACTGAGCCCAAAATTTCTGTTGCTAAGTGAGACATTTATTAAGTTAGGTTTGTTAGGTAGAGCTGTGGTCTAGAGGTGAAGCTCTTGCCTCATAATCAGGAGGTTGTGAGTTCAATCCTAGGTAGAGGCATATGTAGGGTCTCCTGCTTGGGCAGGGGGTTGGATTAGATGACCTGTAAAGTCCCTTCCAACTCTGTTAAAGTGAATTTTACCCCATTTTATGATGTTTCTTGCCACAATTGTTAAGTGAATTGCTGCAGTTGTTAAGTTAGCAACATGGTTGTTAAATGAATCTAGCTTCCCAATTGATTTTTGCTTGACTGAGGGTCGGAAAAGGTGATCACATGACCCCAGGATACAGCAACCGTCATAAATGTGAGTCAAATTGCCAAGAATCTGAATTTTGATCATCATGGGAATATTGCATCAATTGAAAGTGTGAAAAATTGTCATAAGTCACTTTTTTCAATGGTGTTGTAATTTTCAACGGTCACTAAATGAACTGTTGTAAATCAGGGACTACCTGTAGTCTATTCTGACAATCCCCCCCCCCGCCCGCCTTTCTGGGAATTAAAAGTGTTGTCACTTTTAACAGCCAGCAGATGGAGCACTTACACTTTTCTAAATTGTCCTTTTTGTTTCTGTACATTTGTTTTCATTGTCCACTCCTTCCAAAAGGAACAACTTCTATCTTTTTGCTGCTAATGGCAGCAGAAAACATACATCTCCTATCTTCCCAATCACAACCTAAAGCAGGTTGCTGTTTTATTGGCATCTAACTCTGCTACTCTAATGGTAGACAAAAGGTTTAAATGAGAGGGAAAGGAAGGCGCACAGAGATCTGAAGCCAGCAAGTTCAATCTTTGTGAGATGCTCTATTCCGGATAGGTGAAAAATGGTTATATGGAGAGGGACCCTAGAATCTGCAGTTTGGACTAAAATTGTATGTGTGAATTGACAGGCAAACAGGAAAGGTCCAGCACTGCCTGTTCAAAACATGATTTCACAGAAACTCAGAGTTAAAATCCGCGCTCATTTCAAAAATCCAGTTAAAAAATAAAGGGAAATAATCAAAGCCATTAAAAAGCGAAAGTTAGAGTATTTTGGACATGTGATGCGACACCCAGAAAAATATGGCATCCTTCACTTAATCCTCCAGGGAAAAATTTAAGGCAAATGAGGCCCAGGCAGAAGAAGAACATCTTGGCTTCAAAACCTAAGGGACTGGTTTGGACAAAACTCAGCAGCACTTTTTCATACGGCTGTTGACAAAAATAGGATTGCCAACATGATCGCCAACGTCCGATGACGGACATGGCACAAGAAGAAGAAGAAGTTAAAAACATCCAGGCAAATGATCCTTGAAGTACCACTTGAACACATTACACAAAGGGTAATTTAACTCCACTGCTGCTTGGCTCTGTTTGTAGCCAGTGGATATCTACCACATCAAGGTGTTTGTTCTGAATCTTACGGGGAGCTTTAGTCACACATTCAGTTGTTGTCTGGTTTGGTTTGAGCCTTGTTACTACAGACTCTGAAGGAAAGGAACATGGTTGCCTCCCTTCTTTTATCCAGTTATTAATGGGAGAAATCATGATATGCTTTGGCTTGACTTGGCGCACTGATGCAATTGATGTTCCCTCATAGCATGGCCAAAATTAATACAAGCCTAATGAGATCTTTATGCATGATGATACTGCGCCCCTCTAGCCTGCCTTGGCACATCTGTGAGTCTTTTCAGCAGTTGACATATGTGTTCAATATATGAGTTTTTGTGTGTTTGTGTGTGTTAAAAAAAAATCCTTCTCACCTCTATGGTTGGTATGCATCTTCCTCACTCTTGGGTCTTCTACCAGGACCCTTGAAGTTTGAGGGTTCTGAGTAGGATCCTAGCTGATCCTAGTATTGCACTTGATTAGACAGAGAGCTATGTTGGAGGCCCTCTCCCAGCTTAGGAGTCACAGCCCCACATGTTACCACTACAGCGTGCAATTCAGCCTTTACTTTTCACATCCTCCTTAGTTCCTCCATCGGGCTTAATACTTCTCTAGTTTCTCGTACTCCTTCTTCCTGATGTTGCTATCACTTGGCACCACTACATCTATCGCCACCATTGTCTTCTGGTCCTTGTCTACTGTCACAACACTAGTAGTAGTTCTACCTATTTGTAGTAATATATAATTTTATTCAAGATTTTTATATATGTAAAATATAAACATGAAAATATACAATGAAGTGTTGAAAAAAAAACCCTGCAAGGTAAGTATAGACTAGGGGTGTCAAACTCAATTTCATTGAGGGCCACATCAGGGTTATGTTTGACCTTGCGGGGGGCAGGGGGCATGGCCAGCACAACATCACTATGGTGGCCTAAGCGCTCTGCCAGTGAAAACAGGCTCCCGAGCTCCATTTTTTACTTTTCTTGCTCTATATCAATGACTTATGTGATCAACTTAAAAGCAATTGCGTCCTTTTGGCCGATGATGTCAAATTATTCAATACTACAGATAATTCTATTGTTTTGCAAAGTGATCTTGACTATGTATCTGAATGGTCATCTATTTGGCAACTTCAAATTTCGATTAATAAATGCTCTGTCTTACATATTGGTAAGCATAATCAGAATATCAAGTATAAGCTAGGTGACATTGATCCAGCAGATGACCCTCAGTTTGTCAAGGACCTAGGTGTACTTATCTCTGACGACCTATATTCCAAAGTTCACTGTAACAGCGTTGCTAAAAAAGCATTAAGCATTTTAAGTTTAATTTTGCGAAGTTTTTTTCTGGAAACATTGTATTGCTAATTAGAGCTTATAAAACTTATGATAGAACAATTCAATTGTTCAACTGTTTGGAATCCCCACCATATATCTGACATCAGTACAATCGAGTGGCTTCAGAAGTATTTCACAAGAAAAGTCTTGCACTCTTCCGTGCACAATAGAATTCCTATGCTACTAGGCTCGAAATTCTTGGTTTGGATAACTTAGAACTGTGTTGCTTGCGGTCAGACCTAGGTATTGCATACAAAATTATACGTAGTAATGTTTTACCTGTAAACGACTTTTTTTGTTTTAATCTCAATAATACGCACAATAACAACCACTTAAACTCAATGTAAATCGTTCTAAATTTGACTGTAAAAAATATGATTTATGTAACAGAGTTGTCAAAGTCTGGAATGCTCTACCTAATCCAGTTGTCTCAGCTACAAATTTTCACAGTTTCAGTTGTAAATTCCGTGGACCTTACTTCATACTTAAGTGGTCAGTAGAGTGGATGTGCATAAGTGCACTCACATGCCTATCGTCCCTGTCATTTTTTTTTCTTTTATTCTTGTTCTCATTTTTGTTTTGTTTGTTTGACAAATTCTAATAAATAAATAAAATAAATAAATGATATGGGAAAAATACTGTGCATTGATCTATCCATATAGTCCATGTGCAGGTAGGTTATAAATTTACTCTCTACATATCTGGAAGTATTCTGAATAGCCATCTAGGAAAGTCTTTTGTTAATCAATTTTTACATGTTTTTTATTCTTTCAGGCTTTGTCAGAACTCATGAAACAATATCACACTGGTTTTTCCTCACCCACAGAGGTACTGACTTCTCCATTTTTTTTTCTGTATCTTTCCCCGGTATACACTTATAACTAGTTTGCACTTTTTAAAAAGAAAAACATCCTTCAGATCAAATTCCACATTTGAATAGAATTCTATTGGCCAAGTGTGATTGCTGATTCCATGAACACATCCAGGTTGTTTTCTGGGCAGCTATGTAGAAATGATTTGCTTTCACTCTTTTCTGTTTCATTTTGCTTTAATCTTAGCCTAACTTACAATTCTAATATTGTTGGGTGGGTTCCCAACAAGGAATCACAAGAGCCTGATAAACATAATGGGGCATGAAGAAGAGCAAAGGAATCTTGCTAAAGCTAAATTGGACTGGGCCTAGTTAGCATTTGGATGGAAGACCATCCATTTATTGAATTCTATAGAGCCATGGAAGATGGGATGAGGCCATCATAAATAACTTGTTAGATATGCTTTTGGAGGTCCATAGCAGGAAATCCTATTTCTGATAGTGATAGATTAACCAGTGGGACAGCTTGACTTCAGAAGTTGGAGGTGCTTCACCACTGGAGGCCTTTAAGAAGAGACTGGACAGCCACTTGCCTCAAATTGTATAGGGTCTCCTGCTTGAGCAGGGGGTTGGACTAGAAGACTTCCAAGATCCCTTCCAGCTCTATTCTGATTGATTGGATTCTGCAGTTGTAACCATTTCCATTAAAAAGGAGCAGTTATGAAGCTAAATAGCTGACATGATGGACCTGCTGCACAATCCAACTTTATTACTTTCCTTGTCTCTTCTGGGATGTGAGGGAACTCAAGGAAAGATTAAAATTTTCTGTAGCCACATCTGCTAATATTTCCTTTTTCCTTCTTCTCAGATGATCTATACCTTCAACCAGAACAACAATAAAATGTTCCAGATGAAATTTAAAAAGTTCATCCAAAAGCAGGTAGGACAAGCCCAGTTTTATTATAGTTTTAATTTTTTAAAAGGCAAAAAATGATGATTCTGAAAATGCAAATACTTGGAATATGTTAGAGAGAGAACAGATTTCTATGGTTTGTAAATTGGCATGTAGTGAAGGTGAAAGGATTGACATTTAGTCAGTATGGTAGACTAGAATCAGAGATGTAATAGAAACCAGAGGGATGAGCTTTTAAAGTTCAAGTCCAGATAAGGACCAGAATTTTGGTTGCTAAACGATGTGGTCATTAAGTATGAAATCATCCGTGATCAGATCCCTGTTTTACAAACATTTTTCCACAGTTGTTAGGCAAAATATCATAATTAAGCTAATGACTTGTTAAATGAATTATGTGGTCATTAAGTGAATCTGGGTTCCCCCATTTGACTTTGTTGAAAACTAACTAGATCACAAATTGCAGTCCTGTGATAACAGGATGCTGCAACTATTGTAAATGCAAGCTGGTTGCTGAGCTTCCAAATCATCACTTAAATTCAAGAACAAGCTATAAATCACTTTTTTCAAAGCTATCGTAACCCTAAACTATCATTAAATGAACAGTCATAAATTGAGGACTACCTGTAGTGGTGTTAGTAAGTATTTAAATACAGAAAAAGGAAATCAAATGATTTTTGATTGATATTGTCTGAGGATGGACTGTGTTTTGCAAAATTTAGTAGATAAACCATTGATCCCTGGTGGTGCGGTGGTTAGATACAGTATTGCAGGCTAACTCTGCCCATAACCTGGAGTTCAATCCTGACAGGGCTTAAGTTTTGACTCGGCCTTCCACCTTTCTGAAGTCAATAAAAAGAGGATCCAGATTGTTGGGGGCAATATGCTAAACCTCTCAGAGAGTGTTGTAAAACACTATGAAGCAGTATATAAGTCTAAGTGCTATTGCTATTCCTAGACCCATAAAACAAGTTAAAATATTTTGGCAGTTCAAAAGCTTATCACACAGGTATGGGTTTGTTTGTTAGTTAGTTAGTTAGTTAGTTAGTTAGTTAGTTAGTTAGTTAGTTTCAGCTTAATTGACCAGAAAAGACTATTGGGAATATAAAATGGCAAATATAAAAAATCTGGGGGCCTTAGATATAAGGGCATATTAAGTATATGATAAATAGTGGGATAATAAGAAGCAGCATTGTTATGAATCATGAGATGATTAATATTTTCAGTTTTTTCCATCTATTTCTGTACTACCCTTTCATCTTCAATCTTAGGATGAAATCTCACGTTCAATGTTGGGAAGCCTACGTGTGTCCCCAAATTCGATGACTAAGCGCTTAAAGGAGAAGCAAGAGAAACTGCTCCAACAGTTCCGAGACTCATTTCAGGGTGATGAGCCACATCAGACAGAATTTTTAACTTGCCTGGACTCATACCAGAAGTGTGAAGCTAAAGATTTCTTGGAAGATTATAGACGCCGCTTCAAATCCTCTGCTATCAAAGCCGGAGTAGCCATTGGGGTGGGTGCTGTGGGGTTAGCTGGTGGAGCTGTTGGAGCTGGTATAGCAGCAGCCTTGTTGGCAGGGGAAGCCATTGTGCTGGGCACTGGTGCTACTTTTGCAATTGGGACTGTGGCTGGGGCAAGCACATTTGGACTGATTGGGGGAGGAGTGGGAGCTGGTGTGGGGAGCTGCATGTGGGATTCTAAAGACAATGATAACAAGAATGATAATGATGATGAGACAGAAGAAGAACAGGAGGAGGAAAATGTGTCAGATGAGAAAAGTCTTATTAACTGATGAGGTTCATCTTAAGAATTAAAGCCCCACACGTCCTTCATTAAAGAACAAATACCTGCTATAAAGACATAAATCCCAAGAGACTAGTCTCATGTGCGCTCCTTTGTCTCAAGAACTATGGAGAATTAGTTATTCTGTGACCATTCTGGATAGCCATAAAATAGCATAGTTCCAGCACAAAAATTTGGACTTGCAAGTGACAATAAAAGACAAAAGCAAATGCTTCATATAGCAGCAATTAAAAGAATAATTATTTCCTCTGTATCTCTCCCTCCCACTGGGGGAAGGGGGAGTGCTCCAGTGAATTACCAATAGCATGTTTCTCCTGCTCTAGCACCTATTCTGAGATATAGAATAAAGGAGAAAAGGAAATTATATCCAGGGCATCAGCTGTGGACATGGAGCTACTTAATGATATCCATTCTGCAATGGTCTGCTTTGGATCAAAATCTAAAACAGACTAAAGTGGGCTTTGTTGTCATCTCAAAATTTATCACAAGAGGCAATTCCTTCACCCTTCACAGAAAGATGGAGCTGCATCGAAGGTTAAATGTGTGATTTATGTTGTGTTACAGTTACAATACTTCCTGAAGGGAAGGCCCTTCGCTTGATCTTTCATGCCCCAGTCATCTCCTGTCTGGATTATTGCAATGCACTCCACATGGGGCTACCATTAAAAATTATTCAGAATCTTCAGTTATGTGAGCTGCATTGGGTCTCTGATAAACTCATCTGCTACTGTACTGGAAGGATTTCTGCTCTCAAGAAATCATTTATACTCTGGTAAATCACTGGAATGAACTGAGAAGGACAGAGCACCATGGAACATTTCTGTATCCCAATTCCTTTGATAAGCAAATGAAATGAACTCCATCTGGGCTTGTCATTATCCAAACCAGGGGTCTGCAACCTTAAACACTCAAAGAGTCACTTGAGCCCATTTCCCACAGAAAACAAAACACCGGGAGCCACAAAACCTGGGTGGCATGGCCAACTTGATGTCATTCACTCCCACCCAGTCACATGACCCCCCGGTCATGCCTTTCCAGCTTTTGTGGATCCCCATTTTCTTTTCTATGGGAAATAGGTATCTCCCTCTCTCTGTCTCTGTCTCCCTCCCTCTCTCTTTCCCTCCCTCTCATCTCTCTTTTTCCCTGTCTATCTCCTTCTCCATTTCATCCCCCTTTCCATCTCTCTCTCTCTCTTTCTTTCTTTCTTTCCCCCTCTCTGTGTCTCTATGTCTGTTTGTGTGTGAGAGAGAATATCTCTCCCTCTCTCTTGCTCCCTGTTTCTGTATCTGTTTTCACTCTCTTGGAAAGCCCTGTGTGCTCTCCTTGGAGCTGTTCATTACCTCTTTTTCTTTCTTCCTTTTGGAAATCCGAGCTGGATGAGGAATGAGTGAACCCGCGGCGGAGGCTTCCCTCCCCCTCCTCTTGCGACCCTGGCTGGCTGTGGTGGGTGGGGCCGGAGAGTGCACACGAGAGAAGGAGAGGTAGCATGATATACAACAGAAGTAAGATTTACATCACAGCACTAGACACTATAGAAAATCTGTTAAAAGATGTTGCTTTTATAGCCTTAAACTGCTTCCACATTTAAACTGATTATTTATTTTTATACTACTTCAGAAAGGTGAAAGTTGTAACAAACACAATCATCATCTTTTCCCTGTACTGTATTCTGTTCAATGATTTATTGCTGACTTTGAGACGAAGTATTTGTAACTTCATTCAAATGCAACTTCTAAATTAGCAGTGCAAATTTATCCTTAATTAAACTCACTAAGTTGGAAATTCACCACATATATCATTCAAGAGTATGCTATAAATGGATGCAACATCATATATTCCTTAATGTATTATTTAAGATTACTCAAAATATTTCTTGATATGATTTGGTGAATGCAGATCTCTGGGCTTTTATTGCATTAGCAGTTATAATTGCAAAAATCTAACTTGACTGGAGTGTTGGTAGATTTATCTGATAAATTGACTGATATATTTTTAAATCCCACTATTAGTACAGATCAAGGCAATATATATGGAGCTATCTTCTTCCTCTTTATTCCTGACAACACCAAGCCTTCCAGTAGGTTGGGATGGGAGAGGATGACTGCCTCAAAGTACTTCATGAACTTCCACAGATGAGAACAAGAGTCTTCCCAGTGTCAGCTATG